TAAATAAGCAAAATTAGAGTGGTAGGAAAAAGTGGTGATGAAAACGTGACGCTGTCACGTTGTATTAGTTTCATATTTAAATGGGAATAGAAATGTCTCGCATTAATACACGGTAATGTGGTTTATTAACACTTTGACTGCCGCAGTAGAAATAACGACGTATGGTCAGACACAGAATAATACAAGTTAATAAGCAATAATTTTCTTAATTTCAGAACTTGAATTTTATACTTTGAATTACTAACATAATTTCAGTGCTATATAAAATTTTTGTTCTTTAATTATTGATTAATTATCTGCCTAAATTAAATTATTAGCATCGATCATCAATTATCTTCAAGACAGTCAGTGTACTAAAAATATTATGAATTAATTTTTTAATAAATTTCAGTAATATTAATGAACTAACTATTCCTCTTTTTTAACAAATGTATGTATTATAAAATTGTAATAATGATCGATCGATTAAACGTGTGATGAGGCGTGTCGAAGTTTTTTAACTGACAGCTGATAACGTAATAAACTTGTTTGCTTAGCAAAGCACTTAATATAATAAAAAAGAACTTTATATTGTGATACCATTTTGTAATAGGATACTATAGTATTATTTTGTTTTCAGTGATAAGGAGTAATACGTGAGAAAATGATAGGTTTCGTTATACACAAAATAACACTTAATGGATCAGTAATTGCAGAGTATATTTGTATGAATTTTTGTTAATCATACATACCTTTCGATAAAAAATAGCGTGCGTGAGTAGCATTCAATAAGATTCGTGTAATGGGGGAAAAATAGTTTCTTCTTTTGATACGAAAGGAAAGGCTAAAGTGTCGTTTAATTTAGAGATTGTGCAATGCATCAGTCAGCGCAAAAAACTATTCTTATCTATGAAATGACACTTGCCAATTTAACTTATTTCAACTCTCTGTCCTCATTTAAGAATACTAGATATCAAATTCTTTTATTAGATCTATTTGTTATTACATAAAAGAGATAAAATTTGGATCACGAAAGACATACTTATGTGGTTAATATATAATTAATAAGCCATACTATAACTTTAATTTCTTTAAATAGAATCGTGCTATTTCTCATATTTAAATTTTTCTATTGATATCTAGTATAAACAATATAATAATACTGTGATTTAAAATTGAAAAAGGTATATTTTTTTCTCAATTATTAAATTAGATTAAATTCATAATGTCACCAATGGCTCATAAATTCAATGGGTTAATTATAAAAGATAAGGAATTAATGGAAATTACAAATTAGATATTTAATAAGAGAACACAAGTTGAAACGAAGCTTGATTATTTTATAATTCCAATAAAAAATAGTGACTCTGATGTGCAGTGAAGATTATCGCAGTGAATGATTACGTGTGACAGTAATTAGTGTATCAGACACAAAATTAATATTCACACAAAAACATTAAATTAGATATTATTTACATAAACGTTGCTTATATCGACGCTCAATACCCTTTTTGTGTTACCTACAACTTGTTGCTAATGACTTTTAATCTTCTGCTCGATATACGATTATTACAGAAGTAAATTGCATAGTAGTTGTTACCTAATATAAATGCATTGAAATGATAATTTATTAACGCGTAAATTATCAAGAGTGTCATCAAAGATATAAATTAATCCTCCGGGTATATATACCAATAGTTTGATAGGATCGTGGTATTTTGCGAGTGGATCAATATAAATCCATGCTTCCTCGTATCTTCCTTTTTTATTAAATAACGAACGTCTTTGTTTGATAATCTCCTATATTATGTAATTTATTAAAGTATGTATATCAATGATCACACGTACGAGTATACCTTTCATTGAAATATGGCACGTATTCTTTTGTTTGTTTTTTACGAGTTCATAGCCCGAAACTGACCACAACATTCTCCTTCCACGTTAATTTTGTATTTTAATAAACAAAGCATGCTTGATTGGATTTTTCAAATTAACAAAATGTCAATCAGATTGACAATATTATTAATTTAAATTAATAAATAATGTCGCCATTCAAAAATGAAATATTTATAACTTTGCACTGAAAGATAAATGAAATTTTCAGATACAATTTTTTTTTATTAATCATCTGTTATTACGTATAACGAGTATAAGATTGCACCAAATCTGCGGTCATCAAAGTGTTAATAAATAATGATACAAGGAAAAAGAAATGTGAGCGTCGCGAATTTAATGATCTATCATTGTATGAAATTTCATATTCATTATTTTCATTATCATCTGTCAGTGTATCCTTGTGAATCTTCATTAATATACTATTTACAAAATAGACGCGCACGTTATGTGTTTGCAATTAACGAAACGATTGTGAAATTTTTTTGACACGGTGTTCAAGCTGTGCTTCATAAAAACGACTGTCAAGTATTTGTCCGTCTGGGTGATGGTATTTTGTTCCGGAAATCTTCCATTATAAAGGTGACCAATCCTTGGTATTGAATTTTAGAGTGTTTCTTTAGTTTAGGATCCAATAAAAATGATGGAATTTAATGAACTCGTGTTGAAATTTGAATTTCTGTTCAATATTTAATTAAATAAAATCAAAAAGGATTTTTTGTTAGGAATTTTTAAAATTTGTCATAATTTATAAATAGAGATGCGAGGTGTTTTATTAAAAGTTTTAACGCCTTTTTATTACATTATTTTTTATGATAATCCTTTCACTATTATGAGCGATTATAGTTGCTCGCTATGAAACTATTACTGGGTACTACAGATGAAGTATTACACTTATATTTCAAAACAGCAAGCATGTAATAAAATGTAATTTGCATAAAATGATCCCATGTTTTAGGACGGTAGTATATGTATGACTGCCTTCGTTTCGCAATTGGTATTTAACAATATGTATAGCACTCACGTCATATTCGTTTATCAGGAAGAAAGAATCAAAACAGTTAGAATTACGTGTTTTATACATGAATGACAATAAAAGAGACGTAAGAAAAAGAATCTCTTTCCTTGTAGAGGAATTCGAATGAAATCTTGTCGCCATAATTACATGGTCTAATGATAGCATCAAAGTAATTGATGAGAAAATAACTTCAGAGCATTTAGCAGAAGAAAGCAGACCTACTTAAGAAATTTCTAGGTGTGGTGTAAACTTAGAAACTTAGTGGTTTTGTTTTTCTTTTTATATTGGAATTAAAGTACTAATGTGGAATTTGTTCATCTTCGAATGGCAGAGACTGGTCTATCATGACCCATATTTTCATGACCCTGCGTTATAATTGACCTGTTACCTCATTAAAATTAATTCGTATTTCAAGCTTTTGAATAGGGTAGTATGAAACGATTTCTTACTTACGGATTAATTTTGGTATCCTAGCATAACAGAACATTTTGGCCGATAGTATTCTTTGCTTAACACGTACGCTGTTCACAACTGCTGAAACCAGCACCGAATTCTCAAATTTTATTTCTATAAATTCAAAGACGAATTTCAGTGCAGTTTCGGACGTCTTCGACGACGACCAATCGTGCACTGAACGCAACAGCTCGATTCATTGGAGACGCTTTTTTCTTTCTTTTTCGAAACATTCTGAAATCGTTCACTGATAACCGACAGTTGCCTCTACACTCTAGAAGCTGATAAGGAAGTGGATGGTTCGTTTAGAGCAGTAATAATCTATGTATTAGAACGCTGTGCGGGTGTTTCATTATTCTTCAATCATCAGACTAGTTACTAGACTATTTTATTAATAGCTCGAGTGAAAATACTAATTGATGTTTACGAAATTGCAATTGTCTAAATCTACATGTTATATTTTTTTTTATACTTGTATGTATTGACTGCAATTAATGTTAAATAATGCAGATATTCTGTACAAACTTTATGGTAGTTTCAATATTTTTAATTACAAATATCAAACATATCAAAATATTGACTTTGATGCTTAATGTCACGCTCTTGAAGACATTGATATATGATACTTCATATCAGCATCATTTGCTTTATTTTCATGCACCAATTATAATTTGAAATTCCATAATTTAGTTCTTGCAATTCTCTGAGTAAGCTTTCTTTTTTCAAGAGCCTCTGATTTTATAAGAAGTGCTTGTCAAGCATCTTCTTTTTTTTCAAGTCGATAAATGGAATTTGCCCATTAAACAGCTTTGTGAATGCCGCTTTTACCTCGAGCCGTTGATACGAAAGATTTATCCGGTTCGAATTTGTGCTAAATCGACTGTTATGTTTTATCAATTGTTTATTGTACGTGTCGTTGATGGATGTTATAACGCATGGACGATAGTATTATAACTGAAAGTGAAAAGCGCATTCGTATCGAATTCAAGAAGACGTGATTTTTAAATTAAACGATATATGAAAATGTCGCGTACCATTAATGTAATCTGTGCTCGAATGTTGTATTACAATTTTTTTAACAAAGAAATCAGTGGAGATTGAATGTAACAATGATAATGTATTAAATGTAAAAAATTGGCAATAGTTAAATTTTAATTAAGATTTAAAATGCAATTTATGAAATTAAAGGCTTCTATAAAAAAAATTAGTTTATAATTAATAAAAATGCCATATTTAGTTCTGTAAAAGTAGTCCCTAAAGACTGGTCATTTATGAGTATTGCAACATAATCTAGTCATTCAAGTCTAAGCATTCATGTGTGTCTCTTATCGTTCAACTGCATTGAACATTCGAGAACTTTCAATCAGGTGAAATTAGTGGAAACTCCTTTTTCTTGATTAAAATGCAAGTCCACCTTTCACGTCATATAATTTCTGGTTCAAGGATGCTGACTAATTTGCTATTACCATATACTTCTGTGATATTTGTAGATATAAATAAATTTGAATTTGATCTAATTTAATATATTTTAATAGAAAATATTTCGTCTATACGAGAATTGTTTTTTTAGAATATTTATTTATTTCTATTTTTATTTAATTTACACTGTATTATTATCATATGCTTAATGGTATATGCAATGTTTATCAAACTTTTCAGTAAACTTTCAGTGTTTATAAAATATTATCAGTCGTAAAAATGGTAGGAAAACAATTTACCCTTATCATTTACAAATTTCTGTGCAGCATAATCAATTGTTATCTTCATTATGCTTCTTTTCCAATTATTCTTCTTCCTTATCACTGTTTGCCTGCGCTTGACTTTGATATTTCTTTATTTCCTCCTTGTCTTTTGACGTTAATTTCGTTCCTGGAAAATATAACGAATATATTTTAAACATAACACGTTAAAAATAGTTAATCCATTGTTTGTGGAGTGTATAATAATAATAATGAATAAACTTTCAGTAATACCTTGAAGACATATTACGCTGTCTAAAGAGCAAATACTTATGCAGTCGCTTTCGTCATTAGATTCCCATTCCTCGATATCTTTACGTGATGATATTTTCCTCAGTTGTCTACGATTCTCATTTTCGTCATCTACCGTTTTTCTTCTCACACTGGATCCACACTTTTTACGATCTTTAATTTGACCTACCATCTGCGTCTGACTGTACAACGATGCTGTCACAGAAATGTTTAATTAGAGCAGATGTAATGAGCAATATCGTAATATGGTATGATTATGCAGAAATGGTTGCAACTTTTACGTAGACACGAGGAAAATTGGTTCGACAGAATGTACAGAAAAAGTTGATTAATTCAATTGCTACCTATAGCTGGCCATTTCGTTCTAGATTCGCTCGAAGCATAATAACATTATATCTTTTTCTTCTACGTTAATTATTGCTTTTGTGAATGATTGAAACTCTACCATTTAATTAAGTACATGTGTGCTCCAATGGATGCCAATGACATAAACATGGCTAACTCACTCACAAAATAAATGAAAAATAATTGAAATAATATATTTTAAGAAATTTCCTTTCTTCACTACTCAGCGTTGAGAATCTTACTTGTAGTTTCAATAATTTTCGGTGCGATATCTATGTCCAAAGAAGTGAGTTGTAGACAAGCAGTATGACGTGGATTATGAAAGTAGTCCCTTATTTCCATCGATGGTTTAATACTTTTCAGCACTAAATCTGCCAGTGGAACCCGTTTGATCAGTTGCACGGCAGGTATCCACGGTGTTTTCTTTTTCTTTTTGTGCTTAGGGTGCCCGACCTTAAATACTACTTCTGCAGCTTCACTTTGCTCGACATCATCGATGCAATCAGTTATAGACTCCCTACGTTTTCGTTTTTTCGCCTTCCTTTTCTCTTTTTCCGATTTACTCTCCTGTTGCCGTTTCCAGTGCCAATATCTTCGACAATCTATACGACGTGACATGTTTTCCGATACTTGCCTGAATATTCAATGGGACGTGTATTTATTTCATGGATGAAATTATTAGGAAACATTGGATAATTTCTATGGATTGTCATATTGATATTTTTAGTTGATTCATTATGTTAAACATGTTGAATTTCTGAGGTGTTTCTTCATGGTTGAAACGAACTGATTACATTTTTCTATGCTTCTGAACTTTGTTTTAAATACAAAGAAATATTCTTATCGTTTGTTATTCATTTAAGACAAATTTCATTGCATATTTTCATTCGTTGTCAACTTCTCTTGATAAGCGGTCATATAGAAATGCCAAAATTTTAAGTCAATTGAAATTCATGAAAATGAAGTTTATATTCTATCGTTCTACGTCAGAAAATTAATACAAGTATTCAGTAGAAGACGAACATAATCTAAATTCTAAGTGAACTTTCAAAAATACATTTAGGTTACGCGTTCCCCCGAACGTGTACCTAAAATGTTCCAAATGAAACATTTTCTAATTCTTGATTAATCTGGTGAATAAATAAAATCAGCAAAATGGTTGAGGGAGCGGAGACGAGAGGAAAATCTGTGTTCGAAATAGATCGAGCGAGGAAACTATTAATGAAAGAGAAACTAAAACAACTAGCAGAATGCGACGAAGTTGTTTCTTCAGAAACTGTGAATGCCATTGGTCGTGTAACTGATGTTGTTCGAGCTGCCGATGATAATGCTCCAAGTAGCGACGAGTTCGATGAGATTCTCGAGGAACAGCACCAGGACTTGAATCGTTTTCTCCATTTACCGAATGACACTTATTCTTTAACTGAAATTAGACCGGAGCTTCCAACTTGCGTGAAATATGGCGTTCGTGCAGGATTGACCCATATTAATTTGCCCAAATTTTCGCCCCTATCGAAAGGTCATCAGGTAAATTGAATTCTGAAAATCTTACGACTGTGCAAGGCATAAATTCTATTCTTTCTCATTATTTCAATAAATAGAGGACCCCGATGTTTCTAAATTCGAACATTTTCTCTCTAATTTTGTCCACTCTAGTGGCCTCGAATCCTCAATGGTAATCTTGACGATTTCATGGTTGTTGCCCGCAACTTCAATCCTCCTCTCCCATTATTTCAATAACAGGGTGGAGCAACAGCGATAGCAGCGTTCGCAACAACAACAATTTACAAGTCTCGTTGCTGGAACGAGGCGGTCATCGATCAGATCATCGAGGACGGAGATACGTTTTACTGTGAATCGTACAAGGACATAAACACGGACGATCGTCGGCTATTGTCTATACTGGATTTGAAAAGAACCCTTTGTGTTCAGAATAAATTGACAGTGAACGTAAGCATCGAGGATGCTGCATACGCAGGCACGTTTCGTTCGAGCGAACCCACAGGAATGCACCTGGTGAAAGCTTTAGACTTATTCTTCAAACGTCACAATGCTGGAATTCTGTCCTCGTCGGTATTGAACGTGGCTATATGGAAGGATACGAAATACTACAACATCTTTGACGGTCAGCCTAGAACGGATAATTGCGAGCCAGCTGCCGACGGAGTTAGCGGAACAGCGAAACTGTTTCTGGTCAAAGACCTGATAGGTGTACTCTTCATCATCCTAGAAAAGAGCAAAGTAAAGAACGAGCCGTTCGTTCTCTACTCCATAGAGATCAGTGGAGTCGATCATTATACCCAACCGGTCGACACCGACAAACCGGATAAGCCAGACACGAAACCACAAAGAAGACCGAGCGGTTACAAGGTGCAAGAAACTTATCGAGCAGTGGTTCAAGGTTCTTATCATATGACTCATCCGGCGATTCCGCAGCTTCTTCGTAGTCGAACCTACTTGATCATCGCACTGGCAGCCCTAGTTTATTCTCGTCTGGTCAATGCCAATAAGTGGACCAGTGCTCTTATCGACTTAATTTTCAATCAATCCAATATCTACTTCGTGGATCTGGTTCGCGTTCTCGATAAAGACTTGAACGATAACGAATTCGAGCTACGTCTGGACGACATCATGGGTGACATCATCCTGGGCGCTTATTCGGCGAAAGTGAAGATCCGAACGAACGTTGTCCCAGGTTATGGACAGAAGAAAGGTAAAATGAGTATCGACGTTGGTCTGCGCGAATTCTTCGAGAGTCAAACCTGTGGTCTGCTAGAGATGAAGGGTTTTTTTTATGCCATTTGGAGACACGACGATACGTATTACTTCATGGACCCTTTCGCCTGCGACGACGAGGGTTTCAGAAGTGGAACAGCTGAGTTGGATGGTCATATGAAGGAAGGCGAGGCTGCATGCGTGACGATGAACAGCTCGATCAATCAAATGATGGAAACGATTATAGAGAACACTGGTAGCAGAGACAGGGATCCCTTCGTGATACACGGTCTTAGGGTTCTGTACGTGAAAACTGGAACCACTCCAGGTGGTCCTTTAGAGAAGGTGATCTACCGAGAGAAAGGTACGAATCGCAGACCGCAGCCACCACCGACTGCCCCGCAAACGGACACCAAGCTTGACGAGGAGATCGACATGAAGCCGAGGATACGACCTTCGATGGACAAGATGAGAGATTTGCAGGTGCAGTGTCCGGATCTGATGAGAGACGCTGAATTGTACATGATGACGGAAAACGAGCCTCGAACTTACACGATCGTGGCACCTGAGCCACCAAAGGAACCTGAGGAAGAACTTGACGAAGAGGAGGAAGAAGAGGAAGAGGAAACTGAGAGAGAAGACGAAGGACTGACCGAAGACGAAGACGAAGAAAGACCGGAAGAGGAAGTTCCCGAACCTGTGCCAATACCAGTCAGAGGCTACAGACTGATCAATCCTAATCGTCTGGTTCTTCAGGGATCAAAGAACTGTTTGGACGAGAGTTTTGATTTAGTATCGAGGGGGAAGCAAGGGCTAATAACAGCCTTGACAGCCATAGCTTACAGTAAATTGAAAGAACCTACTAAATGGCGTAATATGGATATCGATCAGGTCATTGAAGTAGGTCACAAGACTTATGGCGAAGTTGTGGACTGGATTCGAAAAGGGCGACCCGAGGCGAAAGAAAAAGAAATAGAGGGAGAAGGAGAGGAAGAAGAGGAAGAGGACTTGGAAGACGAAGGAGAACAGGAAGAACAATTGTTACCTATCCCAAGTCACATGGACATGACTATGTTACCAGTTAGATTGAAATTAGGCGAGAATGATGTATTCTACAAAACGAAGATGAAGATCATCCAAGGAGAAGCCAATCCTCTGGCCAACCTTGCTGAAGCTCTGGAATGTTACTTTAATCGTTATCCGCAATTGGTGCTGGAAAACAAGAGACTAATGTATGGAATTTGGAAAGAGGGTACGACTTTCTTTCTCTTCAATCCTTATGGCAGTGACGAAGAAGGTTGGCGTCTTCGGGATCACCCAGCTTCCTTCGCTGTGGTGGGAACTCTGAATGAATTGATCGATCTCCTTTATGGTATCATGGAGTTCAATGACCCATCGTTCATTATCCACTTCGTGGGTCTGGATGCCATTCAGCCTGGGCTATATGCTTCTGAAGAACCTATCGAGCTTCCTGAAGAGTCAACGATAGAACAATTTAAAACAAAGTTTTTGCCAATTACGGACGAAGATTTGTCGAAATTGGAAGCAGAGCTGGAGGAACCAGAAGTGGAGACACAGGGTGCTGATACTATAGAAATGGACGAGGAAGAGGAAGAGGAGGAGGAAGAGGAAGACGAGGGACGACGTCGTAAATTCGTGGTTGCAGAAACAGAGAAGCCTATAATTGATCCTCTCCTAGAAGTAAAGGAACAGGAACAACCTGATGCCCCATACCGTTTGAACTTAATTTTGTTAACTTCTAATATGAAGATCTTTGAAGAAAGCGAAGAGGATTTGAAGAAAGTACACGAACAGATAGCTTTAGAAAAATTGAAATATGATCATCCACCACCTTACGTGATGCCTTCGAATAAAACATTGATTAAACTTCTCGAGGCGAAACGAGCAAAGAGATCAGTTCCATCTTTGGTCTCCAGGTTCTCCATTGATTCTCGATTGGACGTGAAGAAGAAAGGAGGTATGTCAATACTTATGTCAAGATCGACTACAATGATGTCGTTCGCTGCCATAAATGACGACGTTAGACCTTCGAAGATGATCAAACTCTCTCCAAAGAGATATTTGTATTCAAGAATTCTTCCAATTTGTTTGATGCCTCTGAGGGCCATCAATGATATGTACATCCAAGATCAAGATCGCGAGGAAGCTATGAAAGAAGAGTTAGAGAAAGAAAACGAAGATAAGAGGGATGACTTCGTTGGTGAAGACATACCGGACGTACCCGTAGGAGTTCGTATACGACCGCAGTTAATTCCTCTTGGACCGACTATTAAAACACCGAATCTAGAGAAGAGAACGATTACTTGTCTGGAGAAGAAGAAACGTAAATGTTTGTTAGCTAAAGGGGACGAAGGGGATGGTTTGATAGAAAAGATTCTTTGTAACACCGAGGATCTATTGTTGGAATTGTTCTTTCCGGGCTTCAAGGCGAAGGATCAGGTTCGTAGACATCGTTTTCTTCACATCTTGGTTAAAGCATCAAATTCAACCTGTTTGTTCTTACGACAGCCACCAGTTGATGATAAAACCGATGTTATATCTAAGACTTCGAAGAAAACATTGGCGGCTTCTACAACTACGATACGAAAGAGTACTGCGAGTACTCAGAAGAAAGGAAAACGGATGACAGATGCGACTCGTTTGGAAGTAAGCTCAGAAATATTAAAAAATGTTCTTAAATCGTATTTTTTTCTTTATTGGTGATCATCCACAATGAAGGGGCGAGAACAGCCCCAGAACTGTAAGTAATCACTTTTCTTTTTGTTCAAAGGTTATCGAAGACGGGATTCGAATACTCCAAGGGAACATGTGTCTGGAGAATCGCGCCGCAAACGAAACGTGTCACTTCAAATCCTGTTTCTTCTCTGCACTGCTTTGCGTTCTGGCAAAAATTAAACTGGATCCAGATCACTTCCGCCCGAGCACTCTCGATCAGCTCATCTTTCTCGGCGATAAAATCTATCAGCGAACCGGAAGGCTTCGATACAAACCGTACCGATGGTTTCAGCACGTCGAGATTCTTGATATGATTTATAACGCGATCACGAAGCAGTCTGTTTACGCTGATCCGGAGAACTGCCAGGAAGACGAGTTATCATTCATGCTGGAATATTACCTGGAGAAAGACAAGACAGGAATTCTCGTGTTTTCCAATTGTTCGTACGCTTTCTGGACCGCGAACGAGCGATATTATTTGTTCGATCCTTACGCGTGCGACGAGAAAGGAAACGCAAGCGAAGAAGGTTTCTGCTGTCTGATGGAATTTTGTGATCTAGCCGCGATGTTGGAGAAGATCGAACGCAACATCGGAAAGAACATCAACAAACCCTATAGAATTTACACGGTCTGCATAGGTCACATGGAATCTAAAAAACGCAAGAAGAAACGAAAAAAGAAGATAGTCCGTTGCGTGGAGAAGAAAACGGAGCAAGAGGTGCGCGCCGAAGAACCACCCGAAGTGGAACTATCCACCGAGTCGGAGGTCTCTTTAATCGAACAAACAGATTGGGTAAAGACAGAGTCAAAAACGAGTCTAGTTTATGATATGACCATTGTTGGTTTTTCTCCTATTAAACATTACAACGCTTCGATGCTCGATGTGATCGTTCTGGAAAACGAAATCACCACTCCGTCGTTAGCACCCTTTAAGAAGTCTTCTTTGAGATTGACGAAAGACATGGACGAGTTCGAAGCAGTTAAATTATTGGTCAGAAGGAAGGTTTACGATAGGAAGTTCAAACCTCACTCAGCAGTTACGACACCATTGGATCTCTGTGTTATAGCGTGGTCCTTGATCCATGATCCAATTACTTGGTCTGTGAGGACAGTGAGAGGGTTGTTCGAGGCTAGCATAGACTATACCTTTGATAGCATTTTAGCTACTGAAGATTCAACCGTTTCCGAAATGACTGATGGTTTGTTACCTGAATTCGAGATAGCTAATTACGTCTTCAGGGTGGTTTTCGTTCCTCTTCATTACGGGACACTATATTCTACCGAAGGTTGGAACCTCTCCATGTCTTTGCAGAAGATATTCGAAACGCCTGGATACACTGGAGTGGTCATAGTTTGCGGGGATGCTCATGTAGGAGTGACGAAGAAGGACGACAACTGCTTTGCCTGGTGGACAATCAGGAAGACGAAGACCTTGAGATTCGTCACTTCCACAGATATGAAAGAGTTCTTGAAGTTGATTGTCAAAGAGATCAATGAGCCTAATGAGACGACGTTCGTAATGAGAGTGATCACGGTGTCCTATGCTCATAAAGTAGATCCTGATTGCAGCGACACCAAAGGTCTTCACGAACCTGTGGTACCAAGCACTTCTTTGCCGGAAGTTCATCGAATGCCCGCTGAACCTTACGATCTTGAAGCTATATTCAGACCTACAGTGCCGGATTCTAAACCGATCTTCATACTTGGATCGGTTGCTTTGAGTAACAGGGATGCTGTGACAGAGCCAAAGGTCAAGAGATGTTACTTTGTCGCTGTTTTAGCGGTGATGGTGAAGAGGGACATCGTTCAGAGCCCCATGCCAGGGATGATAGATAAGATTCTTGAAGTGGCCGAGTCGGTTTACAGGGAATTTTCGGAACCGAAGTTTCATATAGAACATATTTTGCGTAATGTTACCGTGATGAACAGGATCTTCGATTTTCGCGATTGTGCCTCATCTTTGATAACGCTTACGTTTAATCCTCGGACCTTGAGGACTGATTTTTATGTTCAGGTTATTATTTTTTTGATTTAACATTTTTGGGTTTTACATCAGATTTGAGTTAACAAATTAAAATTATTTGTTACAGGTAAGAAAACACTTGAGAAGATACTTCAAATCGTATTCAAGTGGAATTATACATTTCACGAACTGCTGTTATGGTTTCTGGTACTCGAGAGCAACAAACGCTTATTATTACGTGGATCCTTATCAATGCAACGAAAAAGGAAGAAAAGTATCAAGCGGTGGAAAAGCCTGCCTCTGCATCTTTTCAACAGTCTGTCAGATGGTGAAGAATATGTGTCTGAACCAATTTGAAGAAACAACAGGTTTCTTTATTCATCAACTTCACGTGGACTCGGTAAACGTACCACCATTCAAGACCTTCAAGGAAGATCCAATGTGGTTGTACCTGGATTACCATTGGAACTTCAGGCACGCTCCAAACATCGTGAAATCTCATACTAAGAAGAGGAAAAAAGAAGCCGAGGAGGGCGATGAAACAGTGAAACAATTCTGGAACAATTATGCTGTCGAGGTGTCTAATCTCATTTATTCAGCTTGGGGCACTATTGGTTCCTACGATTCCAGATTCGGTGATCGTGCTGGGAAGAATCAGGCTGCCATTTGCGTGGCTGTGCTAGCCATGCAGTACCTAAGTCATCCGTCAAGATGGGGTCCAGCCATATTGGACTCGGCAGTGATTTGTGGAGATTCTTATTACACAGAAAGCTTGAAAAGCTCGATGAAAAAATATACTAAACATTTCAACAGATTTAACCTTCAAACCTGTTTCAAAATCTTCCCTCATTCGTGGACCATTCAATTTAGGGAGAGCATCTGTGGCATTCTCTATGGTACCAAAAACCGAATGACATTGGCTACTGCCCTAGTATTAGCTTTCCAAGAATCACCAAATGTTCTGATAGAATGTAACAAAATCACGTTGGCAGCCTTGGCAGCCAAGGATGGATACTATGTAGCAGATCCTTGCTGGGTTGGACCACCTCTGTTCAACAAGGACCACGGAGCCATTTACGTACTCCGCTGCAGAAACATGAATTCCTTGGTCTACGCGGTGGTAAAGATGTTAAACACCAATCAGAGGCTGAATTTCCGTTTGACACCTGTCGTATTCACGTTCGAACAAGAAGATTTCAACTTCATGGACAATAAGACTCGCGAATCGAAGAGAAAGGTCCTCTTAGAACCTGTTAGGATTACTCCAGGAAAGGTGGATGAAGCTGGTCCACCGATACCCGGTGCCCATACCACACCTGAAGGAGATTCATATCTGTCGTACAATAAGAACTTCACTTTGGGTAAACTGAAAAGCCACGAGCTGGAAAATCCTGAATGGCCTTCTGTGGAACCAGTCTTGGAAGAGGAAAACAGAACCAGCATGCATGTCAGCACTACTTGGCACATTAATTTCGGCCAGGCTGCACCCTTGGACAGGGCCACGCCTGTGTTCGATTCTCAGGCCTTCCAACACGTACCTGAAGAGTGCGAAAACCGTGTCGTCGATTCTTATGAACCTCTTCGTCCGGTTCAGAGGTCGGTCACCGACTTCCTGACTGCCTGTAACGATTATCCTAGAGTGTTAGATTTCGCTGGCAATCGTGTTGTCACGCAAGGACCACCGCTTCATTGTACTGCTGCTCGAAGCTTCCTTACGGAAACAGCTCGCGAAGAATTCCGTTCGTACACAGCGGATATGGCTAAGAATGTCTACAAGACCTATAAACATCGACTTCCCAAACGTAGTGTACACAGCGTCACTAAATCAGTGAGTCAGAAAATCGGTGGTGGTGAATATCCTTCGGCGACAGGCATTCATACGATCACCGAAGAGGAGGCGGAATCGTCTATCAGAGATTCGCCTGATACAGGAAGAGAAACGGAATACGAAACGATGACGGAAGCAGACGATGATGCGGAGGATGAAGCGGAAACCACTGCGGACGAGGATTAACAAACGGAGAACGCTGGATATCTCAAATGTAATGTAATAGACTAATTAACCTATTAATACCTATAGCTGTAGGTTCAAAACATTTTACTGTGTCTCTTATGGTCAGGAAACGTGTATAATATGATATTTTTCATTCAGTAATATTCCACACCTTTCATAGTCACACTTTCGGAACAAGTTTTTTCATTTTCAGAACAAGGTAGAACAAGTTTTTGTTACTAAATTTTATGTTTTTCTCTATTGTTTCATTAGCAATAATTTGCTATTAATTTAGCGAATGATCTAATGAATGGGATCGACTACTGCATAGTCATAGTGAATCACACATTTTAGCGGATGAGATAATTGCTAAAACAAAAAGTTGCTCGCCTTGATGAAAGCACTTGATGTCATGGGAAAATTTATTGAATTTCGATGAATAATCTCAAACCGGCAAGGAATTTTCTTGCGTGACATTCACGGGATCAGATAAACGATCTTATTAATTGAATTGTAATTTATTTCACTGATAAAGAAAGCATATAAATTCGTGACATATAATATTAACTCTTTATCTCTGGTTATCTCTGTCTTAGACAGGGATAAATACTTTGAACATTATTTCAAAATAATTTTTCTGTTACAGGTGGATCTCAGGAGTATCAGATGAAGGATCAGAAACTATGATGCATGTCAAATGAGTAAGTACAAGTTCATAGAGTTAATTACAAAAATGAGAAAAGGAATTATTTAATGAATGACGAACATTATTGTAAAGAAAAACTTTAATAGCATATTAATTTATTGCAATACACATTGTTCATAAGTAAATATAATCATTAAAAATTGTACATAGTAAAAACAATGTTCCTTATTCAGTAAAAGTAATTCACGAAAAAGAATTCAAAAGCTGTTATGTTAACATATACTTTATCACACGTAGCATTCCTGGGAACAAACATTCAGGAAGTAAAAACAAATAATTATTATAAAATAAGAATTACAAAACTTACAATTACTTACAAATTGAATTAGAAAATGGCTAAAATTATAACTTTTTATTGGATGGAAATAATATTGCAGTACAAAAGAGGTATAACAGTTCGTCAGTTCTCGAAATTTGACGTTATTTCTAGAACTATATTATAAAATAAACTAAAAGACAGATAATTCTACGTATAATAATTAAATGATTAACAAAATTATTCAAAGCTAATTTACTCGAAACAGAAACAAGAAACAGATGATAAATGAATTTTGCATAACAAGTTTAAATTTTTATAAATTTCTAAATTTATGGAAAATTTTAAAAAAATAATTATTAAGCATTAAGTTTCGTGAATTTTGAACTTTTCTTGTGTCTAGAAGTAATTGCACACAAAGGATATAATTAGGTTGCATTTAGGATATACTTTCACGACTCCCCATTTGTTTCTACACACGAGGTATTTCATTTCCGCTTGCTCAATCTTCTTCAAACGATTATCGGACGATCATAAAAGGCAAACGGTTAACACTAATATTTATGGTAACGCAAATTTATTTATCCGCGTAAACACACGCCCCCTTTAAAGTATCTGCTCTTCTTTCTTTATAAAACTATAATGAACAAATACGAATTTTAAATTCTACAAGTTAGTTAAAATAATTGGAAGTCAATTATAATTGTTACGATTAAATTAAGTCATTCACCTTTCTCAATTTTTGATGTTTCTTAAAAAATCACTATATTAATAAAATTGTTTTCTTAATTATTAATATTTGTCAAAATTTGTCAGATTGTTCGATAGGTATTCAATCAACTCATACCTTTTCCTATAATTAAACTTATTTAAAGTAACTTAGAAAGTAACTTGTAAAAAAATACTAAGAGCTACAGTTGATCCATGGATCCTTTTCAGTCAGATGCAATCGTACAATGAAACTTATTGCAATACTTTTTAACATTTATTTCAAATAATTTATTTTCAATAGTCCAGTGCTTTCATTAAAATTAATGGGTTATAATTTTCTTCTTTACATAAAAAATGTTTCATTATACGCTTACATTTTTCAAATTCCAACCTCGTCTACAAAAACAAACATAAAATAAATTAAAACGCATAAACTTTGAACGAGTTACAAAACGATATCTTATTTCTATCTCGTTAAAAACTGAAAAGGATCGACATAACGAAACGCGTTTCTGTTAATGATGAAAAGATAAACGTTTGATTATTTGCAAATGCATCGTCCTATCATGAACAATCTTTCTTCTTTATTCCTTGGGCGTTTCTTCCTCTGTCGCTGGTTTCGTGTATAAAATCTCAGCGTATTCTGTTTTATCTTCGTTAAGAACACGAGGAGTAACAACACCTTGCTGTTGTTGCGTCAAATCCAGCTCGGCATAAACTATTCCTCCTTCACCCGTGGAAGGATTGGATTTATTCTCTTGTGGAGTTGCCAAAGAGGTCTGAAGCTGTAGAAATTGAAATTTTCTTATTAAATAATGCATTTCTTGTTCGCTGCGTTTATACAATTGAACAGTGCAGCCGACTGAGAACACTATATTGGTTTTAAACATGACTACTTGTATACTTACTCTTCGCTACTAAATCCCCGTCTTTACTGCGGTATTTTTTAAAAGATTTTTAAAAATTTTTTTAAAGATGGAGAGTTACCTTTTCGTCATCGACAGTAACGACAGTTCTCATAGTATCTGTATCAGCACCTGATACCTTATCCTTGTTGCGTTTGAACAGTCGAGATAGGCTAATTCTCGATTTCCTTCCGCCCTTTGATGAACCATCCACTTCTGTTCTTGAGTAACGACCAGCACTTTCCGTATCACTTCTGTGATTAACATAATTAAAATTTCTCAAAATCAAACCCATATTTTGACGATTTTTGTAAGCCATAAGACTAATCTGATAATGAGACGATACAATGTTTTGAAGTATTTGACGTCATTTAATTTTGTCTAATGAAAATTTGTTTATCTCAATTATGGCTTGGCCTAGATTTAATTGTTTCAAACAATTGCATAAAATTTCATATTGAAAAATGAATCGTACACAGAATCATTACGTGACTTATATGTGTTAATTCACGTTAATTAGCATGTTTCTTTTTGTGTTCATCTGCTGTCTAGTTTATGGAAATGTTAATGATTGATGATGATAACGACTAATTATAACGCATAGGTAACATCTAATAATGTCATCAAAATTACCATTTAATGGTAAGATTCCAAATAACATCCAAAAAAGGATACAATTTTTTATTCCTTGTAAAACCGATTTCAATAAATTAAGAATTCATGGTGTTAAATTGTTGTTTATGAGAGAAAGGAATGTCTTGACTCACGATTCATAGAATTCACTGTTTCGTAAAGCTAATTGATTATACATATTTCATTCGTAGTTGAACGTTCTCGAACGAAAACACATTAACACAAATGTTATGAAGCTTAGATAGTTACTCATCAACTTAGTCAATGAATTAACAGAGAAATTTAGTAGCTGGTCATAAATGATGAAGCCGTGAAAGGATCAAACGCCACAGTTATAATTCCGAAGTTATGTAAACGAATGATATTAATAAAACATGCATTGCACCGAGGCAGAAAAAGAAGAGCAATTAATAGCAAAAGCGTGCATATCAAGTGCGTAATAAGCTGTATGATTGTAATTGATGCGACGTGATTTCCTTGAAATATCTATAAATCCTTCATAATCCGTGTTTCTCATCTCGTAGACTGAATAATAAGTTCAGACATGGTGCAAAAACACTGCACTGAATGTTAATTTCTTGTTTCTTTGAAATATTGTATCAGATTTCAATTTAACATAAACGATTTTTTACTTGATCTTTAAGAAAAAAAATATCTATATAAAGCAAACTATTAAATATTACTTAAGGTTTAAATAAAATGTTTGAATCTGTTGATTTATGAGATGACAAACGTGTTAACATTGATTAATAAAAAAATGATGATTTTACATTGACATCGGCGTAAGCTTGATGTTCGGTCTGTTTTCAAGAAACAGAGTAGAAAAAGAGAAAAGAAAGGCTTGCCTTTGCCTATCCTCATCATCTGCAGTTTTTGATTTCTCAAAACGAAGTAGATTTACGCTTGCTGCCGGATCTGCGATGTCTCTGATCGTGTTCGATTTCCTGGATACATATCGATTAACACCGATAGATAAATGAATCTGAACCGGAAACGTTCGTTTCCTTCGACCGTTTTCCTGGGTATCCATAGTTCGTGTTTCTTAACCCTCTATTACTCGAACTTCGTAATTTCTATGATTATTAAAGTTACGATAGTGCATAGTGCAAAAAGTGAGGAAAATATTTTTGAATTTTTAACACACAAATGTGATATGTTATATTAAAGTTAGACGAGTGCATAGAGGGTTAAAGTGCAGTTTGAATCTTTTTTTTGATAAATGCAGTAACATGTTTTTAACAAAAATAAAATATAGATATGATTTTTAAAAGCTTTAACAATAGATTGATACTTTAGTTATTTGTTCACAGTCAAATTTCAGAATATGATTAATTAATTCATACATTCATTTTGAAACAGAATATAATTTTAATATTTCGTCAGGCAAACGGTCGAGCTTATCACGGAATTGTCACTACGAAAAAGCACCAGCGGGAAAAAAAGAATATTAGTTAGAAAATTTGGTGCAAAATACTGAAACATTGAAAGTGCATTGTGTTTTTAGAAGAAATCTATGTACTGTACATTCTATAGGGAAGAAATACTCACGATTCACCGAGATTCCGAGACGTTGAGGTACCTGAAAATAATAATAAATAAAAACACGTTTAACACTTACCGAATTACATATTTACGTTTATAATTAAATTATAAAACAAAAAACAAAAATCGTAAGAGTCAGGGAATGGCATATTCTCGTGTACGCTTCTGTATATTTAAAACAAATGTTTTATTTCAAAAATCATATAATACCTAAGTATAATATCATAGCGATGAATGAACTTACAGTTAATTACATACAGCTCTTCTATATATTAATTTCATTTGAATTCTTAATTAGATTTACTCCTGCCTATTGCGTTGTATCTACAAAGTACAGATACAAAATGTTCACCTTGTATTCGTTTTCAATGTGTGATCGCAATATGTTTCGGTGTGTATAAATCTGTGATGTACATACATACGTGTACGGTATGTGTATGTGCTGATCGTATTCCATTTATCGACCGTGTAACATTCAAACTTCATCCTTCTTTCAATTTTTAATCTCTTTTCGTATCATTTATTTTTTTTCACTTTTCTTTTCTTTTTAATTTTAAACTTTAATGCAGCGATCTCTGAAGTATTCTTAAAGTGTTTTTTTCCTTTTCGATGAATGCTGTTTTAACATTGGGCCCTCGTTACAAATAAAATATCGAATAAGTAAACCATGTATTATTTTAAAAAAGGAGTTGATATTTTTTCTAAACTTTCTATACCAGTTTTGGATCATTTCCTAATTAATGAAAATGACATTCTAAAAATGTTTCAGAGAACACCATACTCAGGTATTCGCGATCATTATCTCCATCTTTTTTTTATAGTCTTATTTAATACCTAGACTTAACATAAATATATGTATATATATATAATATATATATACTCCATTGTATGGCCAACGATCATGCTTTCTTATAATATTACAATAAAATCTTTTTTTCTCGTTAATAT